CAAAAAATTCTTAATTTAACTACTTGCTGATTAAAATTTCAAATCACTTAAAAGTTTCATTCAAAATAGCCAACTTAAGTCTTAAAATAAAAGAACTTATTTTAAGTTAAATCTCACTAAATCTTTATAAAATGAAATTGTTAACAAATTTTTGCTATATATAGTTCACTGGTGTTTATCTGCAGACTAATCCAAATAGCAAAAATTTGCATATGTGAAGAATTTCGTTTATGTAAAGATTTTCGCACTGCACTATCGAAAACTACTGAAACACTAAAATATATCAGAACTAAACAATTTCCAGGGAAAATTGAAATTTTCAGCGAGTGAAAAAAGAAATTCAGAAATTATCTGAGTGGCTTGTCCTGTGCAAAGTCAAGTGCAAAGGGAATATCATGTTTCATGTAAATTCTAACAGAACAAACTAGACAAAAAAACTTTGAACCTGAACAATAAAAAGCGTGTCATGCTAAAGGATATTTTTCTGTGCAAGTAATACTCTCAATCAACCAAAAATAGAATGTAAAAATCAGTCGCCTGCTTTCCCGCAGTGCTGGGCTCAGCAAACGTGAGAGCTGAGTGCCCGGCCAGGGGGACCAGTATTTTTTTTTAGTCGCCCGAGACCAAATGTAGGTTGCCTGAGTTGACTGGGTGATGCTAGAGCACAGCCTTGGTATCATGAATACTCATTTATTGCTAAATTCTTTTTCATTTCTTACTTTTGTATTTACTGACTAGTCTTACACAAGTAAGTTGAACTGAGCTTGAACACTCAGTGAAGGGACTTAGAACTTTAAAATTAAGGGACTACATACACTGTAAATATGTTTTTGTTATCGTTATTTTAAACCGTAGTTAGTAGAGGGGACTACTATGTTTAAACCTAGCCCAAAATTCATTTGCGGGATTACCTACTAACTCATTAAAACTTTCACTCCTGTGGGAGAATTTACTACATGTGTAAACTGGTAAAATTTATAGACCCAAAGGCCACACACATAACATGCAATATGAAAGGTATTGTTTGTGGAGTACCATAAATCATACTAGTTCAGCCATAGGGCAAGTCACAGTTTGAACTAAAAAGCATTCAAAATGAAAAAAGAAAAGATAAACATTGAAAAATATCACATTGCTGATTTAGTTGAGATGTACCCCTAAACTATAACTATTTATAAATGTAGCAAACTTGCCACTTGATGTGTGGGTTATTGTGCAGTAAGCTATTAATTTGACCTCAAAAAAATGCCATTAGCATGGCCAAAAGTGAAGAAAGGTTTAAAGTTACGAAACTTGTAATATTGTTAAATTTTAAAAGTTCTCTTTTGTTTAATATAACTAGTAAACCCTAGCTTTATAAACAGCAACAGTTGCATTCAATCTAGGAACAGGGCTTACCATGATGTTGTCACATGTTCTATATTTTCCACAGAATGTGACATGACACTAGTCTTGGTAAAGTTACTGGGTAAACATTCATTTCTTTTTAACTGATTCTCTTGTTGCATTGTTTAATCGCCATACCCCAACAGTGTAATCTAATTTAATTTGTTAGTTAACTCAATAGGATATTATGTCTTGTCAAATTGTTTTGTATACACATTCATCGGAGTTTTTGTACTTATTGTTAACCTAGTGATAGACTACGTAATCCTGCTGCCACTTTTTGTATAGGTTTTGCTGCCCAATTGTTATCTCTTCTTTTGTAAGTGACTACATAAGTTTTAGGTTTTACTTATAACTTTTTTAACATGTAAATAGTGTTTAATGTGTAGAAGGCAGAACAGCCAAAAAACTGTTATAAGTGTTTTTTTCTTGGCAGAAACTAAAAGTAGAATAAATTTACAAAATTCAAGGGAATTATAATTTACTGTCAGTCTTATCTTATCTTCTGTTTTGTACTCTTTTCTTATCTTCTTTGAACACTCTCTGATGTATCTTCTGTTTTGCTCTCATCTACTTTCTCAGTCTTTCATCACGTGGAGTGATTTTTTGGCCTTTAGGAGTTGTAAAATAAATGTGTGTAGCTCTCTTAGTGCAAAGACATGCATGCACTTTTCACTAACACTCTGTTTTCATAAATCCTTGGTCATGCATACATAAGCTATACGATATGCTTATTTATGTTGTGGTATAAATTTATTTTTGGTTTAAAACCACCTCGAAGTTCATTTCCCACTGTTTCAGACTACTGTAACTTAGACTGTTCACTGCCCTCTATTTGCTCATATTTTTGTTCGATTGTTGAACGTGCGGATATAATCGTGGGAGAACTGGATGCCAGCGCAAAATGGGAGACTTTATGGGGCTGGGGGTGGGGTACCAAGAAGAACAGAGCTAGCTTCACTTGCCTCCCTAACCCCACCACCTCATGCTTTTGTGCTTGTGCTTGCTTCACTCACTTTTTTCTTCATGTGTGCTAAAAAATAGAGAAATAGTGAACAGCCTAACCATAACTGAGACTCAAAAATAAAAGCCAAACTGGTATGAAAAAGTTTACACCGCAACATAATTTATGTATTATGCATTTATTGGCCCAAGATCCATCATCACTTAAGTTTTAGGGGAATATGTTTACAATTACTTACTTACTAATTACTGCCGTTTATGTCTGCTGGCATGCAGGGTAGCTTCAGGGGAATGTGAACAACCATAAAATCTTCAGCAGCAATTACACTGTCTGATTTGAAAGCTTTTTCTGCTGGCCTGAGGAGTTTTCTATGCTACCACAGTCTCCAGTCTTGGTTGCTACATTTTCACCAACTCCTTTATATCTCTGGCTAAAATGTGTCTCAACAACAAGCACCTTGGCGTTGACTTTTGCTGCAAAGTACCCAGCCATTTCTGTAGGATAACAACAAACAAAAGTGCAAACTTAAATAAGGTAATTGAAGGAAACTCTTTTATGTTTGAGAACCTAAGCTTGGTATATTTAAGAAGAAGATAGGCTCTATCCTGTTTTTCTCATGGAACATTTCTTCAGTTTGATGGTAGTTTTGATCTGTTCATTGCGAAAAATGGCTGTTGTTTTAAATGGATCTTGAACTATATTGGAGTTGAGAAACTCCATGTTCTCACTTTGACAACTGAAATCTTTGACTTGCACAGTTGTTCTAATGCAATTTGATTTGCAAAATAGTTTTAATGGAAGTCATCAGGATTCAGAAGGCTATC